CTGTTTCTCTGAATTTTCTGCAGTGAGCAGGTATTGTGTTTATAATTAGGAAAAAAAGAGCTGTTCTGTCCTAATATCAGGATAAGGATTGTGATGGTTAATTTTATGTGTCAACTTGGAGTGTGTTTCTGAATGAGATTAACATTTAAATCAGTAAACTCTCAAGTAAACAGACTGCCTTCCCTAGGCGAGTCTCATGCAATCAGTTGAAGGCCTGAATAAAAGCAGAATATTGGCCTCCCCTCACAAGAAGGAGTTTTCAGCAGGTGTCCTGAGGCCCCACGGGCACCATCAGCTCTCCCAGGTCTCTGCCTGCTGGCTCACATGCAGATTTGGGATGCGCACCCTCTATCATCTTATGATCCAATCCCTTATGATACATCCCTTTCTACATATATATACACATCGCATCAACTCTTCCTCTGGGAACCCTGACTAATAATGCAAGGGTAGGCAAAGAAAGATCTGTGTGTTTATGGGCTGGGGGTAACAGATGATGGCTCAGAAAGTCCTGGGACACAAGCTCCCAGCAGAAGATCTCACAGCAGGAAGCCAGGGGTCTCTAAGGAAATGGCATCAGTTGGGTAAAGACAAATAAAGCACAGTTGGAGCGGGTGTGTGCCCAACTGTGATGGCTCTGCACATTCTGGCAAGAGGGGTATACAGACGACAGGCCACCCCTCCAACTGCCATGCTCTTCTTCTGCCTCCCAGTAAGCAAAACGAGTACACGGGGCGCGTGCGACCTGGTCTGTGGGAAATGAGCCTTTGGGAAGGTACATTTATGAAGCACCTGCTGTATCCTGGGAGTCAACACACTTGCATTCAGACATCAGCCTTGCCATTTAATAGCTATGTGACTTTGAATAGGCCCTTCACACCTTTAAATCCATTTCTTCATCTATACCTGGGAATAATAAAACTAATAACAAAGTCTGAGAAAAGACTTACTCAAGTTTAGTACAAAGTTGGCAATAAAATGAGTGGAAAGCAGAATTACATTTCTTTTATCCTTTCATCTTTTCCAAATGAAGTACTGAAATTCCCAGAGAATGTTATTAGCACTTTGAAGAAGACCTAAATTACCAGCAAGGTCACTATGCCAGGAAGAACACGCCCTTACCTTCTCTAGTTCTGCTTTGTGCACCGGGGAGCTGGGTGGAGGGAGGCATTCTGGATCCACAGGTCCACTGCAGCCACTGTAGGCTTCTCTGATCACCTGTGGAAAGCGCACACAGGTTCTGAGTATGCCCAATGGCAAAGATACTTAAACCAGACCTCAACCCATGTGGTGAACAGATAGAGGCATATGGTGTGGTAGAGAAATTCACAGGATCAAAAACACCTGGCTTTGAATTCTCTCATCTCGCTCACCATGTGTCTATCCAGTGCTGCAACTGACATATAAGAACAATGCTTTTGAGATTCCTGCTCATGTAGAGTTTCAATCTATGTAATTTAGACATCACCACCAATAATGAGTGTCACCAAAAAAGGAAACGTGAGACAGAAATGCTGCAAAGAATAAAAGATGGTGCTTTAACAAAAAGGTGGATGGCTACTTAGATCAAGAGACCTGAGAGGCCTTACTAGGATGACATAAAGAACTGAGGGAACGGGTCCTGGGGAAAAGAACAGCTGGTGCAAATGCCCTGTGGCTGCCATGAGGCAGGAGGGCAGGGGAGGAAGGGGTGAGAGATGAGGTGGGGATGGCCAGCAGAAGACAGGTCATGTAGTGCCCTCAGGCCCGAGGGGGAGAGACCCTGAGTGCACTTCAAGGAGGGGGGAATCCAAAAGCTTGGGAACAGGGCGTACTGTGTGGGTGTAACCTTGGGCAAACCAAATGCTCAGCACTTAACCTCTTCCTCTGAACAGTGCAGATCCAACAGCACCAGCCTTCTGAAGGCGAAATGCTTGAGACAGGGCCTAAAACATAAGAAGCACCCAATTATGGGAAGGCCCTAGAAAGCTCATGAGAAGAAAGGGTAGGACTGGAACAAAAAAGCAAGCACAGGGCAATGGGTCAGAGGCCATCTCGGTGGCCCTTCAGACACAACACAGGCTGGAGTGGCTATGGGAGTAGAGGACTGGAGGGAATTCAAGGTGCCTGGAGGGAGGATCGTCAGGCCTTGCTGATGGATCAGACTTGGGGCTGAGAGAAAAGAGCCAACTTCGGGCGGTGCCTTTGGCTCAAAGGAGTAGGGCACCGGCCCCATATACCAGAGGTGGTGGGTTCAAACCCAGCCCCAGACAAAAAAAAAAAAGAGCCAACTTCAAGATGACTCCAGGATTTCTGTTCTTGGTATCTGGGCAGAGGAAGATGGGAGTGAAGGAGGCGGCATGGATGTTCAAACCTCTTTCACTGCTATCCCTGCTAACACCACTGTGACTGTGAGCACCTTACAGCTTCCGTTAAGAACTCAGAATATGAATCTGGGCTAGACTCAGGGGGACTTTTCAGCCTATAGGTCATGATTCTGGGCACAAGTAGCTATCTAGGTCATTCCCTGCACACAGCCACTTATTTTCCCAATCACTCCAGAGCTCAAATAATGTCCAGGCATGACACTGGTCACCAAGTATATGGAGCAAGTGAGACAGATGAGGGACCAGCGCCTGTGATACTCACTTTCTTATAACTGCAAAGTTAGCAGGAAAATTGTTCAAAATGTCTTCAATTCTTTTTCAGACCTACGCTGCAATTTGAGTTAAACCCAAGCTCCTTCTGGACAAAAAGAAAATGCCAAAGTCCGAGATATGTGTGCAGTAATTTTGCAATTTGACCTCCACAGACATAGCCAAATGCACGTGGCTTGCACTAGTATTGGGATTAGAGCCAGTAACTGACAAGAGACCAGGATGATGTTTCCAGCCATTTTGCTGCTCAGCTGTTTTATGGGAAAATAATGAGGTGATGTCCACTGGAAAGGAAAACAAGAAAATGAAAGAAGAAACCCAGAGAGCATGGGGCAATGTTCTCTCCTTATTAACTGTGAGTTAACAACTCTGAGCCAATGTGACCCTCAGCCCAGAGACCTGTGCCTTCTGAATGGACCGCATCTCTCCGTAGTTCTCTCACTTCCGTGCTGTTCACTCCTGCTTTTCTGTCTTTATTCCCTCACCTGCCCTAATGTGATTATTAACTCTTCTACTGGCCAAGCAAATTTTTATTTGATTTGAAGGAAAGACTTTGCTTTTTCTCTAGGGCAGTGATTTTCAACTGGCGAGTCGTAAGAGGAGCTTAGGAATGCTGACAACATTTTTAAAGATCATTAATTAAATTATTTTCGAAGAAGTTCAAAGCACAGCTTAAGTATATTCCTTTTTTTTTTTTTTTTTGCTCCCTTTTCAACATAATTTAAGTGAGCTGTGAAAGTCTAACTACAGGTTCAAGAATTCCATGAGATAGAAAAAAGGTGAAAAACACTGTTTTAGGGAAATAGTGTTAGTATAATGGAAAACTCCTGACCTTGTATGGGAAAGAGACCTGGGTTTACTCCCCAGTTCCACCATTTGCTACACTATGTGAAATGTACAGTTTAATCTCTGAGCTCATCAGTAACACACACAAGGTAACACCTAAGGGGATCACTGTAAAAGCCAAATGATGAAACAAATGTCAAGTGCCCAGCCCATTTCCCTACCCATAACAGGCATTAGTAAACCAAAACTCATTCCCACAATTATAGTGTTAAAGAAACAAAAATGCATTTCATCTATATAAGGAAAGCTGAACTCGACAAGTTCTTCACTTTATTCCATACAACAGCCTACACAGTCTGGTCCTCTCTGGCAAAAGCTTTTCATTCAGAAAACACTCTTCTTTCTTGTTTTTGTTGCTGCTGTCTGTCAGTCAGGGAAGAATCAACAAAGCACTTTGCAGTACTACCCCGATTACTCCTAGCGACAGGGTGTGTGTGGGGAGGGTCTATGTGTACGGCATCTTCTTGAGCTAAAGGGGTCATCCTGCAGACTCCCAGGTAAGCCTGCTCTGGCTCCCCAGGTGGTGGACACGGTACAGCCATCCCTCCACACCTGCTCAGAGATGGGCTCGAGTCCGTCTGTCAGAAGAATCACACAGGGCTGTGTCTTCCAAGCTGTGCTCATACTGACAGGAGGGGCTGAGCCTCACTTGTGCCAGTGTTACTAAAAGAACTTTGATCAAATGATAAAACAATGAGGTAATGAAGAAATGCATTGGACTTGAGATTTTCTATGAAGGAAAAATAAATATATAAATGAGAAACAAAAGGAAAGAAACCTTTCCTTAAGGCATCATTAAAATAAGAGCCTCATGACAACGTTTCCCCCGTCCTCAGCACTGGTTTCTGAAATCCTCAGCAACGGAGGAAAGCATTTTCTAAAAATAAAAGGGTAAATCAATAAAAGCTATCTGGAATATGCACATTCATACTTCCACACCCCACCCCGCCCTAACACACCACCCTGGCTAACCTCTCCAGCTGTGCTGGTCAGTGGAAGTTTCCCACCCCTCTCCCCGGTCATATCAGGTCCTGGGTTTCCAGCAGTCAGCCCAACAATGGATCCATGAGAGCTAACTCAGGTAAGTGCCCTTTGAGAAGCCTTTCCTGATAAACCCAACCGCATAATCTAAATGCTTAGATTACTGCACATAGACAAATTATACACTCTTATTCTCTAATTATTAAATTTCAAATTAATAATTCTAGAGAGTAAAAATTCTCTTCTTCTGGAGAGTAACAGTTTTTCCCACAGGGCTAGGGAAGACGGTATACAGCAAAACAGAGCAGAGCCAGATACCAACCGGCTCAGGCAACCGAGCATGGTGAGATTATTTATGTTCCCCTAGACCAGTGTTTCTCAACCTTCCTAATGCTGTGAACCTTTAATACAGTCCAAAGGGGTCGGGACCCACTTTGGTTCCCACTAGGTTGAGAACCACCGCCCTAGACTAAACAAGAAGTACACCTAGGGTGTGAAGAAAGGCTCTGTCAAAAAGACGAATTAGCATGAACCAGTCTTTATTTCCACAGATTTTCTCAAAGAGTTGCAGAGATCAGCAGAAACTATGTTTCTGCTCTGGATTTCTATTGGTTCCCAAATTATACCTGCAGAGTTCATTTGGAAGTCATAAATAAAAGGCTTATCACTCAAAATCTTTCAATAGCTACAAAAGAGGTTTTTATATCACTAGACAAGATCTGACAATTACGTTTATGAACTTGCCACTGTGCCCATAAGTTGGCAGCACTGTACAAACAACTCAGTTCATAACCTCAATATACAAGTATCTCACAGTTGTGTTTGTGTCAATGTGTGGCGGTGTCTTTCTGAGTGGTGTTCATTATTGTTGTTTCATGTTTTTGTGTGCTAGCCATCATGAGACTACTGCAGCTTGAATTAGAGCAATGAACAAACATCCATAAATTTGTTAAACTTGGCAAGAGTGAAAGTGAAATCATGGGACGTAATATGGGGATAATGTCATGAAGAGAACAACAGTGTACAAAAAGATTAAACATTTTTCTGAGAGGAGAAACCGTGTCATTAACAAACATTCAGGGCAGTAAGTAGTAAGAAGAACCAGTATATACATTGCAAAAAATTCATATAGTGTGTGTCAAAATCGATGGCTGACTATGAGAAGGATAGAGAAACAGTTAGGAAAATATTAACTGGAAATCTTGGCCAACAACTCATGGCTTTGCATCACAACAATGCATATCACTGTCTGTGAGGGAGTTTTTAGCCAGCAAAAAAAATAGCTGTTTTGAACCACTCTCCTTACTCACCTGATCCAGCCTCCCTGGACTGTTTTTTTTACCCAAAGATGAATGGAAATATTGAAAGGAAGACATTTTCATGACATTCAGGATATCAAGGATAGGTAATATAACAACAGCTCTAATGGCCATTCCAGGAAAAGAGTTCCAAAATTGCTTTGAAGGATGAACCTCACACTGGCATCGGTGCATAGCTTCCCAAGAGGAGCACTTCAAAAATGCCTCATAGCTATATTCAGCAATGAGGTATGTAGCACTTTCTCTAGGATGAGTTTGCAAGCTTAATTGTCAGAACTTCTATTTAAACAGTCGTGTTGTATGAGAGGTTCAATATATATTTAAGAAAACTAGATCCAAATTCAGAATCATAAATCCTCCAAAAAAACAAATTGTTATATGTTTTGTGGTAGTTTTGTTTGCTTTTAACTTAAGCGCTCAACTCAAGAAACACAAT